ATCGTGGGTTCGAGTCCCACACGAGAACAACTTGCGATTTTTTTCGCAATTGTTTTCAAACGTACTGAGTATTCAGTACATTTTCACGTCAGGTAGGGCAAAATTACACATAATAATGATGATGATGATAATAATAATAATAATAATAATAATAATTATTATTATTATCATTATAATAATAATAATAATACTGTAGTTATTATTATTAATTTTATTTTATATTATGTCATCTTGATAGACGTTTACTTCAATTGAAGACATTTTGTCCTTGTGTAAAGCTTGGTTGGAGGCAAAACTTATAAACCAAACCAGCCTTACATACAAAAAAAAACCGTATCCAAGTACAAAACAATAAATGTATACAAATATTTTAAAAAGTAAATAAACATCCGCATCAGTAAAACCATTAATATTAATTCGTTCGATAAACGTTACACCAAAATTTACATTGAGTCATTACATATTCGTACGACAAACGTTGTGACAACATTGTCATGTTTGACGGTGGTCATCAATCGAACAATACCTTATTCAGTATCCCTCTCATATCTCAATTAAAAAAAACCTTCACATAAGTCACTTCATTATGAAAACAATTTTGCAAGCTGCAAGCCGGAAGTTGACGTCCAGCCTGGTGGTCGATATAAAAGAACCGGCGCCGGAGAACAGCAGCTCAGTTTGACTCTTAACTTTATTTGCGAAAGATGTTGCTGAAAGTACTGCTACCTGTTTTAGTTATTAATTCATTATGTGCCAACCTGGTGCTGATCTCTGGGTTTGAGCATAATGCAATGTTAGATCTGCAAGAAAATATACAACTTCTTTGGGATGTAGAAGATGATACGATTACGTTTGAAGTACGTGCAAATACGACTGGCTACATTGGGATCGGACTTTCAACTAACGGTGGAATGAATGGCGCAGACATCATGCTTGGATGGGTTAAGGAAAACAAGCCATATATTTCTGTAAGACTACTGTATGTTTTTTTAACAATTTCTCTTATGTAATTTGCTTTTAATATGGATCAAAATGTAAGAAAAGTTTTTGATTACCCTTCAACCATAAAGGTGTAGGCCTTACAGTGCGGGGTCCAGGAAAGCGCGACAGAGTGTAAGGTGCATATGTAAGGCGTCTTAAGTTCTTTTCATGCTAAAGAAAAAAAAAAACACCACAAAAATGTAGGCCTATTACCATCAAATCAAGGCGTCATTATAATAGGTTCAGAGATTCAACGGCAAATATAAACAGTGAAAACTTATACAGCAAATACTGTTTTATAGATATTCATTCTTCCGGAATATGCCTCTTAAGAGAACATAGTTTTTGTATATTTTGGAGAAACAAAGTTGGGATTAGATTGGATTGGATTGGAATTATTCGGCGTAAACACCAAGGATAGCCCACGAAAGTCTAGAAGAAGACTTATTTGCAGAGGGTCCTTCTGGTGGTGATTGGGCAGTACACAGGGAGACAATCCCCTACTCTTTTCTGAAGATTGTACTGCGTTCTTTAACGTGCACATGGGCCATAAATGCACACGGGACCAACGGCATAAACGTCTCATCCGAAAGACGGTGCGCTATTGTAACTTGTATTTTAGCCCTCTAGCTGAAACACAGGGAGAGGCAGCGATAGGAATTGAACCGGGGACCTAAAGATCTTCACGGTTCAGCGCACACACAGTGGCTACCACCCGGCTGCTCTCTAATAGAAAAAATGTAAGAAAAAAATACTCTAAATTAACTAAGAATAAGGGCCATTGTGATTAGTGAGTATGGTAGGGACTGCTTTGAACTGATTTTAAGATGGATTGTAACGCTATTACTATATCTACGCAAATTATTGTACATGTTTACTAAAATATAGAATTGTTTTCTGAACTTTCTATAACCTATCAGAATATTTAATGCTGAGACAATAAGCTTTTAGTCTCAGATTAGGCTAATCTCAGGTGGGCCTCTAATATTGCATAAACAATACAATACTTATTCCAAGGACTCCAGGGATGCATAAAATAATAAATTATTATTATTCCAATGGTTGAGAAATAAAGTTGCGGAGACTAATGAAATTGTTATGAATTATTGGAGTGTTATTAAATTAAATACAGTTACTCCATGGTGAAATTATTTTACTTTTTAGAAATAAAATTAAAATCACTGAAATCCATTGCAAAACAGAACGCTTTTAAAACTCAACTTTACCTTTGCCGTCTAATCAATGAAAACACACGATTAATTATAATATTGGTTCATGTACCAAATTTGGGTTCATACTACTATACACTAGCTCATAATTTAGTTCATTACTAATTTAGAAATTTCAAATTAATTTTAGTATAGTGTATATTTTTCATTATAATAAATGTAAGTACATGTAAATTAAAGTCCAATATGATGTAAATAAATCTGATCATTGATTGTAAATATAATAATATAAGATTATTACAATAACTCTTTATATTATATATTTTTAGTATAAACAAATCCACACGGTTTGGAACTGACACATGGTCAACAAGCGCCACAGGGTCACACATGTACGCCCCAGCATTATCCAATCACGCAACATAATGCTCTGGATGTTAAATTTCAAGCACAATGACGGAAATGCCTCACACGATTTGCTTACGTATAGGGCCTACAGTAATTTTGATTTACTGGCTAATTTGCTTTTAATGAACGTGATTTTACACGTAGTCCAACCGGTACCTGGTTTTTAATCCAAAAAGCTTCTGTGCTGGTGTGGTACCGATATCATTCACAAACATGGACGGCATCGGTCTAAGGTTCCACCGGTATTAGTCAAATATTTTAAAACTATATTCACCTAGTTTACTCATGAATTAATAATCTTATAATATTATATACATTGTACAATTCTGTATATTTGAAATATTTAATTTTAACGTCTTGAATTGAACACTGTTCTTCGAAATGTTTTTTTTAAAAGTTTGATTTGGTAAATAAATAAAATGTCTCGTATATAATATTAACAAGCTTTCACCTAGTTTACTCATAATTGATAATAATCTTTAATCAGTTTGATTTGGTAAATAAATCATATGTCTTTTATATATATATATATATATATATATATATATATATGTATTAACAAGCTTTCTTCATAATTCAATCATTTAAATACCCTGCAAAACACAGACTGACACAATCAGAGTGATTTGGTCCTATAATCCAGAAGATCCAGACGGTACAACAGCAGTATATCATGGTCCTGTTCGACGAGGTGTTAAATCCATCGTTTTCATTGGTGGTACAGCGTCTTATGCGGACTTCAGTATCATGCCAGATAACACACAATCGATGGATTTTCTAGCCGACGAGGTAAGCATTTAGGCCTATTACTATTGCAAGAAAGTTCAACGAAAATTAGACGTAAAATATAGACATAAATATTTTAAAGTTTGTTTAAAAGTATATATAGGCCTAGCATATTGGTCTTGGGGTTTAAGCAATCCTGCTTCGTTGATTTATTCTTGTATTGTTCTGTGTCATGTGAAAAGGGAAAACAAGAATGATATGATATATATCATATTATTCCTCTGGTATTGATTTATTTTTATATATAATTTTGTTTAACCGTAATTAATTGTTTTATATATTATTTTATCTTATATCTTTGTTTTCGAGGTCCTTGTACCGGGCGACCGGGATACAACCTACTGGTGTTCACATATTGAGCTTCCGGTGTTACAGGAACGACAACACGTTATTCGGGTAGGTTATGATGCGCTTAATAGAGTAGGCTACTTGTTTTTGATAAGCTACCATTGTGAAATTGTTTCCGTTTCATGGAGTAAACATTTACAAAAGCTTCCTTTAATGTTGGATACTAAGAAAGTTTATAAATGATATTTAAGTTGAAAATTATCACCACATTAGATATTCGACGGTATTATTTTTTTAGTTTTAATCAATTTTATCAAGTTATATAAGAATAATATTTACCTTGTACTAAGATGTGCTGTTTTCAATTAAAGATATTTTACAGTAAGCATGCATCTAATTGTATTTATTTCGTTTCTAAAATTCATTTTCGGCCTTTCCGTCTACAGATTGATCCAATTATTCAAAAGGGGAATGAGGGCGTTGTTCACCATTTCCTCTTGAGGGAATGTCAGTCAGGGCTGCACGATGTAATAAAAAATAATATGAGCCTCGACTGTGAGAATGAAATTATGTTTGAATTTAGTAACTGCAAAAAACTTGTCTACGGTTGGGCGATCGGAGGAGGGGTAAGCATTATTACTGCGAATATCACAACCTCGTTATAAACCCACTTGATTAATTTTAATCCATTAAGTCTAAAGACTAAGGCTTTAGTTCTGATAAAAGAAATGTGTAGGCCCTAAGTTATTGTTATTATTTTAACGTAGTGTATTTCTCCCCTATTTTTTGTCTAATGATTTAGGTTTGTTTAAGTATCGATACCTCAAAATTCCGAATAGAAGCCCAATGGGCTTAATCTCTAGTCATTAAAAAAATCATTAAAAAAAAGAACACGTCATAAGTATAATGTTTAAAGGTGTTTATAAGTGTGTGTAGGCTTATCAATCGAAATTATAAAATATTTTCATTAGACAAGTTTAATCATTATAATTGATTTTTCAGCCTTTAGAATTTCCAGATCACGTTGGTTACAGTATTGGTGGACCGGGCTCTCCACGGTACTTACAACTTGAGGTCCATTACGATAACCCACAACTTATAGAAGGTAAGAATGTACTTAAAATATACCATAGGCCTATATGATACTCGCACATACAGTGTGTCAAAAAGTGTTGCCCAAAACCGAATTTACCAAGAGGCCACAGTGGCCCAGTTGGTTTAGGTGTTTAGGTGTTAATTAATAATATAATAAAGTTCCATAAATTTTCAATTTAGGTATTCGTGATGTCGCTGGCATACGATTCTATTACACACCGGATATTCGTCCATTTGAGGCCGATATGATGGAAGTTGGTATCACTACATTTTCACCTTGGATAATACCGCCAGGTGTGACGGACTTCAAAGCATATGGTGTTTGCGACAGTATCTGCTCCGATGCGGTACGGTACAACTAATATTAATATTATTAATACCACCAGTTATATGATACATTCGTCCTTTCATTTGATTTAATATGCAAAGTATACATAAGTAGAAAATATATCATAAAGAGCCGAATGTTTATTAAGGTCTTGCCAGTGTGTGAACCGGGCCTAGTTCGTAGACACCGGCCGGCTAGGAAGGAGACATTTTCTCAAACGCTCATTTTCTCGTCGAATATACCCGATCCTCAGAGAGAAGCTATAAATAAGAGTAAAGGCCTGTTTACACTATGACGATAACTATCAACGATAACAAGCTAAAAACCAATTGTTCATATAGAAAATAATATAAATAGCCTAAGAGAAGTTTTTACACTAGCACGATTCGATAACGATTCATCGTGTATATTTTCACAAATCAAATCAAATGATAATAATCAAGGGAACGATAAAATCGTCACGTAGTAAAAACGATTTTATTGTTTTTCCTATGATTATGACGTCATTTGACTTGACAATTTTTCAAATTATTTTTTTATCATATACCGGTACACGATAATTCGTTAAAAATCGTGATTGTGATGAAAAAAAATCTCTTCTTTATTTTATTTCTCTATGAACAATTGGTTTTTAGCTTATCATCTTTGATAGTAATCTACACAGGCCTTAAACACTGAATTTTCTCAATTGTGTCTCATGAGATTTTAATTTAACTAAGCAATTTGGTATTTAATTTTTCCGATTTCACTACAGGTGATGTATTTTAATCATTATTACGGTGTTCAAAACGTTTACCTGTTTGTGTTGTGTCTCCACAACAACTATCTCTCAATTATATATGTATTTGATCTATCAACAGATGTTTGCGGACGGTGATATAAAAATATTTAGTGTACTGCTTCACGCCCATCTGGTCGGTGAGTAATTCTGGTTAAGGATATTGTTTAAGAACTAAGTAATGGGCACTGGTACCTATTGAGGAATGTTTTCAACAGGTCTTCTCAATGTCTGAACATTTCCCACTGTCTCCGAACAAGAGGTACCCACTTTTGTGTTGGTTTCCTCTTGGAAATTTGTATAATGTCGAATTTGTTATACATAAATTAATGAATAACATTATATGTCTATTATGTAGGCTTCATATCTTTAATAGTACGCACCGTGTCAATAATCGTTACACTACAGGCATTACGGCCTGTCACGTGGGTACACATCAAAAACAGTGGACCATGTGTATTGTGCGCCGTAACAGTTACCAAAATGCGCTGGAACACTCCCAGGAATTATTGCTTTTTGTGTATAAAAGATGAACGGCATGTGTATCGATAAGAATCCAATCAAATTTTCATATTGTTATGTTGAACCAATAAATCTTATCCGATTTCTTCTCTTCCAATCTGTAATTGATAACTCACTCGCTGTTGGATAAGAATAAAAAATATATAATACAGTAGTTATATTATACCTCTGTTATACAACAAAATGGTTAAAAATTTACATTGAGTAACGGAGGTATAGGCCTTCCTTATAACTCCATCTTCATTGATTCACGCAGGGACTGCCATTCGGTTGAGCCATTACAGGGATGGTAAGTTTATCGGCGATATTGTACGAGACAATCTCTACGACTTCAATCTTCAGGAACAAAGAATTTTGAAAGAAGACTGGATAGTCAAACCAGTAAGTAACTTTTTCAAGTGTATTACTTGAATATTAAACAATATTATTGTTTAGAAAATATTAACTTAAATTTACTCGAGATTGCTTCAAATTCCTTCAATATCTGCTGGTTTTTAGTATCTTTTTCTTTCTTTTGTTTTATTTTGTCTTGAAAGTGATTTTTTGCTATTGGATGGCTCCGGGCGAGCATTTGGCTTTTCTCGGTTCATGTTAATTGTTGTGTATACTTTTTCCGGAATAAATAAATAAAATGGGAAAATTAATGTTGAAACTCCGCAAAATTAACACTCATCATGTTCTTGATCATAGATTTAAAATTCCGTTTGCGCTTACTAATTGTCTCAAATTCACTGTCTTTCACCATTTCCCGTATTTTTTAATTATTTACCTATTGATTTAGAGAACAAGCCATTGATTATCTTAATTTTAAACATATATTACAACATCTATTTTAAAGTTATGCCTTTGATAGTAATGATTTTAAATCTAATTACACTTTAATTGTAAATATGAATTTTTGAGAATCTAATTGTAAATATTTTTTGTGCATATTCTGTTGATTTTTTTTATATCAATTCCAATTTTTCCTTGTAAACATTTATTGATAAATTAATATTATAATTGTATATATGCAGTCTTAATTAATTTTTTTTATATTTTTTAATCGAAGTTCTCAATTTGTATGTTTTGTAATTGATATAGGTATAATTGTCCTTTTGTAGCCCTTTTTTAAGACAGTGATTTAAGTTTTAAATCAATCCTCATGACCTGTTTTGATGTTACTGTATTTTATACTTCATGTTTCAAGTGTTTCATATTTTCATGTTACTGTATGTTTTTATTGTTTGCGCCTGGAAATAAATAAAATAAAATAAAAATCATTATCATTATAATGTATGAAAATTGATTTCTATGTACAGGGCGATGAGCTATTGGTCGAATGTACATATAATACAGCCACAAGAGATAGAGCCACGTTTGTAAGTACACGATTGTTGCAGTTATGTTGTCCAACTCAAATAATGTTTCTCAGTTCAATACCTGCACGAATAATGAATATTGCATAGTTCGGCCAGTTCGGCTCAGTTTGAAAATCCCACGCGTTCGTCTCTGTTCGAATCCCATAAATAGGTCTATGTTTGTTCGAATTTCACGTTTACACGACTTTTCTCTTAAAAGTAAGTTTAGGCCCTACCTACATTTTAGCATAAATTCGTTAAATGTTTTATTTTAGAGTGGTTTGAGTACTAAGGATGAGATGTGCGTAGCTTTCTTGCTCTACTATCCGAGGGTTAATGCTCTAGAATGTGGAAGTGCACCTGATCCAATGACACTAGCTGAGTTCCTTAATGTCGACATTTCACCGTAAGTGTAGTTCATCATATTAGTATGAAATTAAACATCATCAAAAACAATAGTCGTGTTCCGCTTTTGCTTTTAGCATTAAATGTGCTTAGGTTGATATCAAACAATGTCGCCAATAGCGGGACAAGATTACGTAGAGCTTTGTCTTTCTACACGTCACACTTTAACAGTGTTGTTTCCACTGAGATTTCCATGAAAGGGGTGCAGGATTGAAAAGTTCAGCTGAGCTTGTGAACATATCACTTAAATTGTCCAGTGATTTAACCTTAACCTACTTAATAAATTTGGCCTACTTTTAAATTAGGTCACGACACAAACAGAGTAATTAAATTCGTCTTCATAGATTTACATTTAATTTCTTGAGAACTGTGGATCATTAGAAAATAAAGGAGATAGGCCTATATTGAATTTAAAGACAAATATTTAATATCGTAATGAGTTTTTTCAAAATTTCTCTAGAGCGGATTCATTTCATGAAGTTATATATGGTCTTGACTGGACGAAAGAAAGAAAGATGGCCAGTGCAGACTGGTATAAAAAATCTAACCATATGATGACATGTACCAATAGCTCTGAATACCCTTTTATTGGTGAATACATCCCACATGGTCCTGTAAGTATATTGCTTGTCGGAAACTTAATGAGGGTAGTCTCTTTAATGTTTTATTATTGTACAGGCACTGTTGTCGAGTTTAGCTAATCACAAGAAGGAAATGGAAGTATGTTTACCTTTAAACTGGCATTAAGATGAATGTTTATTCATTGCTTTTAAGCAAATGTAATTTGTGTAGTGTTTAGATTTGAATTGCCATGAAGGTACTTCCATTTTAAATTAGAATTAGAAAATTGGATTAAAACATTTTAAAAAAAAGTCATAATTTTTAAATTCATTCAAACTGATTCATTGATCATACTGTGCTATAATAATATCGTAGATAATATTAATACTTGTATCATTTGATATCACAGCCTTCAAGCATGGAAATGGAATCTCTGGGTTATCTGGTAGAAGAACTAAACAATCAAGTTGATGAAACAAAATGCAGCTCTTCAGCAGTGCAACAGCTAGCAACATGGTTCACTGTTACCTTATCCATGATCATCACAGTTTATGTCTTTTAAGCCGACTTCCTATTACAGTATTAAAACAAATGCTGATTCAGCATTGGTCGCATTACCTCTTTAAATGACAATACTGCTGATCTTATTTTTCTTTCTGACAGTGGTGGCGCCAGGATTTTCCAGGCGGGGTGGTGGGTGGGGGTGGGGGCGATGTCCCTGACGAAAAAAGGTGGGCGTGGTCGGACATCGCTTAAAATCTCGAAAGTGTTCCATGGGGGCGAAGCCCCGAAAAATGCGACTAATCGTGGTTTTCCTCCCCGACGCCCTCCCCCCCGGTTGGCGCCACCCCAACTTTCTGATTTTTTTTGTTTATGGATGTAAATACTTAAATAATGACCACAATTTATACATGTATAGCGTTGAGAAATTTATTTTAGATAGCAATAAGTTTAAGTTAACAATATGAGTTAAAGCTTTGTACCATACACTAGCTAAATTTACATCCTTATTATCCCAGCCACCATTAAGTTTATTATTGTTGATTTCAGTAGCACATTGTACCTAAGGCTTCGCCTTGTTAGGTGCCAATGAGAGGTCTATATTGATTTTTTTTTAAAATAAAAAACAATATGTATCACAGTACTGGAACATTATTTTTTGGACATGAGAAGAGATCACTTTACATTGTATAAAAGCCCTGTCGAGACTCAAGTTTTCTTTTGCCAAAAAAACTGTGTATGCCCATATATAGTCATGATGTGCCTATATAGGGTCATGATGTGATGTCATCATGCCCATATATAGTCATGATGTGCCTATATAGGGTCATGATGTGATGTCATTATGTCCATGTTTAGGCATGCCACATGTTTTTTTCAAATAACATTTGATTGGAGAGGGCGCTTTAGAATATAATATTCTTGCCATAATGTTAACGGCCAATCAAACAATACATTCCACTTTACTGTAAGCAATGAATGGAGTAAACCGCCAACGGATATCCAGAAAGTGTAAAGGTTACATAATCGTATTCTCATAGAAAATATAAAATTAAAGCTACAAAATCCACCCAAAGACTAATAGTTAACGAACTGAATGTACAATGATTTCTAATAAACTCAAATTCAAACACTTCATGAACTATACAGTTTTGTAATGATCAGTGGCGTATCTAGAAGTCTTGAAATGGGAGTGCTGATGGGGGGCGCGAAGGTGAAATGGGGGCTCGATGCGGGGCGCTAATTCGCAAAATATGGTGATTTTTAACTACTTGACCATGATTTTTGGGGGCCGACTGGCGGGGGGGGGGGGCGCCCATCCCCTTAGATACGCCACTGGTAATGATTTGATCAGTCAAATGGGGTTCATTCTTTTCCTAATTATCAAATTTATTACATGTTTTTGCTCAGGTTGTGGCTGTAACGTTGCCAATACAATAAGATATTGTTTTCTGTTTCATTTTATTAAAAACGGTTATTAAAATTGATCAGGTTAAGTCTACTTCAACACCACCGGAATACTGTAAACATCAAGGGTTCACAGGGAGAGTTTTTATATAGCCCAAATTGTGCTTTGCACCACAATATTAGGGACTGGCATTCAAAATAACGTTATTTGGATAGGAAAATTTTGATCCGACCTCACCCTGGCATCGGACGACGGGGCCTGTCCTCTTTGCTCACCCACCCGAACACTCCATCCTCCCTACTGGCATCAATAAGCTCTGGCGGCACCACTAGATACAGGAACATTGGAAGTGGTATACTAGAGGGAGAAAAGTGCTGACAATATGGCATTAAACTACTGTAGATACTCGAGTCACACCAACAAATTTCTAGCAGGACTCCTTTCCTTAGATATCACTATAAATAAAACTACATTAAGGATATCAATGTCTCTGTGCTTCACTGAATGAAAACTAGCATAAAAATGTTTCTTATTGAAGGTAGTGACTTGCACAATATAAAACATTCAAATGTCTAAATTAATCGATACATTGCATTTTATTCGTCAACACCAACAAAAAATCGACTCATTTCTCTTATATATAGCATATCTTAAATAAGTAAAAATATTTTTATATACACAAAAATATCCCACATATTTTGTATGACAGGCCTTTTCATCGCTCCATAATTTAACAATAACAGTACAATACTATGTATGATGTACTCTTCAGGTTAAAGACGGAGACTTAGAAGTATGCAAGTAAGTTCTAGAGATGTAAACAGTTCTGTATATGAATTTACTGACTCTGGAATACAGATAAATTCTGTGTATAAGCGATGATTTTTAAATGTAAACTCCTTTAAGGACATTTAATATTTTTCACTGTGTGTTGTCTACATTGTAAACATTGCAACCAGCAAAACTGCACAGAACATTTGTTTTTTAGGCTTCTGAATAATCTGACCCACATAAACATTTATGTGGTTGATGGGGATGGGTTGAACTTCTACCAGAGTCAGTAAAATACTAGAATACACTTAGCATACCTTGGAATGAGCTTCTTAACTTTATATTGCAGACTCCCTAAACAAAAAATACATATCAAAGATTTCTTTTTACCATTAAAAACCCTGGTATCCTTCAACTTACACTATATAAGTCACAGAGACATCAGTGCAAATGTGTGCATGTTTCGTGAGTGCTAATGTGCGAATTTTAAGCAAAAATCAGACGTCATATGGGTCTGTGTGCGTTCAACACTGATACGATAGGTCTGCGTGAACAGACTATTAAACGACCTAAAGTCTGGCCCCGATGGTAAAACACGTCGGGCCGCCTCATATTTTAATGTAATCACATTTATCTACAAGTTACAGCTAAACACATTGCCATACAGTTACTTATTAACTAATTCTTACTCCATTATAAAATAGATACTGTATATAAATATATATTTAAACTGGCCCATGCTTTTGCTGATCAATTCTCAAACGTCTTTCTTCAAAATATTTTAAATTTTACCACGCCAATACTGAAAAATATCCACATGTAATATTTAGCCACATTTATATAGCACCTACTACACAGAATCAGCAGGCGGTGAAAGACTTACCACAAGACAATCACTTTTACATGTGCTTACAAAACCTGTGAAGTTATAAATAACCTGCTACATGCTGTGTCCATTATAGCTGAAAGCAGGTTGCCTACCACAAATCCCTACCATTTACTATTACTGAATGAATGATACATATTATCTTATATTTACAAACCAATATTTAATATAAATAATCATAACTAATGTACACATTATTGTGATATTACAAGTGTAAACACTATTAATAATATATAATATATATAAAAACAAATTAACAAAATAAAGTAGTACATTGAAGACATAGACATTTTAAAAAATTGGGGAAGGTATCGTCGCTCACATCACAAACTAACACAATGAAAGCTAACACAATGAAAGTAGATTGATTCTGTTAGTTTATGAAAACAAACAAACATGTTAAATACATGTTGTTGTCGTTACAGAGTTTTTGTGTCTATTTTTGTCTATATACTTAATCTGCAAAGAATATTCTAATATCCCATTATGAACATCAAGTTATGTATCAAATTATTATACAGTACATCAATAAGTTAAAATCAATAATCATTTCTGTCTATAGTGTATCTTCAGGCCTTTAATTCATCTGTGTTTTTGTTGTACTTTTGTTTTCAATTTAATTTAATTTCTCTTAATTTTTTTTTTCTGGATGCACTATCAGGTATTTTCTGATGTGTACCACTGATGTAAAAATGAATCCAATAAATATTGCATTGCATTGCATTGTGTGGTAAAGAATAAAAAATTGCTAGGCAACAAATACGTGTTTATTTTAACACTTTTTAGTTTTCACAAATTAACACAATCTACTTTGTCTTAGTTTGTGATGTGAGCGATGTATGATTAGAAATGAACTAGGTACTACAAATAACTTGGCACACTATGCACACAAATAGGTGAAATATGCGCAAAATTGTTTATACTTGGGTGTGTGTCACACAGTGCCTATCTTATCTGATCTTATAATCAGCAACAACAATCATTAGCATTGGCAACAAAAACGTGTGAGAGCTCTCCATGAAATGAGAAACATTCTTCATTTTGTGAACACCTATGATAATTTCTAATTATGAATAATTAAATTATATTTTTACCAAAATTGTCCTAAATACCATTGTCCTTTATGAAATTCCTACATTAAGGGCTTTTGATTGGATGCGATACAAATGACAGCTACTTGATTTCTCAAGCCATGTTAGCAGTCAGCTGTTTCTTATCCTCTTTCTTAGTTTTCTTGGGGGTGTCGCGACATGTCTTCATGCAGTAGAAAACCCCTGAAGCAGCAGTTAGACAGCCTAGATGGCAAACAAATTTAAAAAAAATATGAACATAAAAAAGAGATAAAATCATAAAGTTGTACCTGCAAAAATAAGTCAAAAGAAGTTTGCTTCATTTCTAAAATAAATGAAATAAAAATATCTATTTATTTTAAGGATGGATCCATGAATTCGGAGGAAGGGATCTTCGCAGAAACCACCTCAGTCACACCATGGTTGGGGCTGAGGCAAGAAATTTTATGATTGTGAAACCTCTAAATGGCCAGCTGCCTCCACCCACCCTCGAATCCGTCACTGCAGTTGTTGAATCGTTTGACCTAAATATTTGACTTAAGAAAAATAAATACTGTATACATACCACTTGTAATGTAGAGTACACTAAGAAACTTGGCGAAGCAGGCAATGGATAGGACAATGTAGAACACACCTCTCTTCCAATTATCTGCCCATCTCACAGTCTTCAAACAACATCCAGATTCCTCAGTTTTCCTTTGAAGCAAAAAAGTAACATTTTTTTATGTTTCTGTAAAATTTATAACAAATATTTTATTTCAAATAAAACTTAACAGGAGGTAAAGAATGAAGGACAACTATTTCAAATAAACATTCCTGTTTTGTTTAGAAAATCAGTCATAAAATAGTAACAATTAAAGGGCCTCATTTTCATTTTCCAAATATTCTTGAAACATTTGAGCTAGGTGGTTGGCCAAGTGCTATTTTTCCTGCTCCTTGTGTTGAAGACCCTGGTTCAGAGCTGGCCAGTGTCGGCTCATCATTAGAGTGTGATCACTCAGCTCCTTGAACAACCCTCATTATGAGAATCAGGCAGATAAAAGGCAATGCTCCTTGTTTTACTACCTGAAGAGGGTAATCTATAAAAAAAATCCCAAAAATATTGTATTTCTATTTGGTCTTAAATATAATTCTTTTAATCGAATTTCTAAATATCATACTCACTTGACACAACTTGTGCTAAGAGACACCATCTCCATGAATAGTATCAATCCTCCAATTGCCCTGTAGAGAAAAAAACATGATACAAAATTGAACTGTATGGTTTTAATGTTAGCATAGTGCATGTCTATGTTATATGCAATTTGCCTGATAGTGTTACCTGTATTTTCAAAATATTTGCACTAGAAATCTTTGTTTGGAGTTGAAACTAAGCAAGAAAATTCTTGGCTAGTTTTATTTTGTCTTGACATTTTGACTGCAGAAGATGGAGATCTCTGTCTTATAAATCCCAACCGTTGACTGCCAAAGACGGAGATCTGTTTCTTTCATTTTCTTTTTTCTACATGATAGAGGGGGTATGTCTAGATTTCTAGAAAATCTCTAAAGTGTTCAAATCGGTGGGGACCACATGTTTCGCTATTTCAATGTGACCTATTCTCAATGACCTCATATTGCATGGAGATACTGAAACGCGATTGTGTGAATATGCATAAAACCCCAAAAGTGAGTCACTTTCAGTTTACTGTTATGGATAAATTGTGCTTTGAATAAAGTGTTTGGTACCAGTGTAAAGCCGAGATGTTTGTTGTTCTTTTATTGTATAGTACATGTCAATTCACATACGCACTCTTGGTGAGTTTTGGAAAAATGGTCAAATTCGCTAAAAAAGGCTGGTGGTGGCTGATAATATTTTTCAAACACAACTGGCGGTGAAAGTGTACTTAATGTTCACATTTCTTACTATTTTATTTAGACATTTCAATACCACATGTACAGTACTAACATGACTTACACAATATAGATATTTATGATCAGATTCTTAGGTCCATTGATGAACTGGGTGATTCCAATTGCCAGCAAACCTGAAATTCAATGACATTTAAAAATCAGGAGGAGGAGGGTAAACAAATATGATTTTAGATGGCTTTAATGCTTTTTGACTGAATAAAAATAGAAAATTCTAGCACCTAGGCCCATTGCCAGGATGGAGAAGGCTGGGTAGTTAGGCACAAATAATGATAAAAAAAACATTGAAATGTATTGTCTGTATACATATCTTAATACCAAAAATAACAAATTTAGTTACACCACTAGGCCTAGGTCTAGTAATTATTACTTTTTAATAAACTTTAGAATAGCATTGGAGACTCATTAATTAAATATTCTTATCTTAAATATTCTAAAATCATATTTTTGACAAGGAGTTTCTGATACTGATAGGAAGTTGCGAGGTATTTCTTGTTGTTCAAAAAAGTCATCAAAGTTCCCACAAAGACCAAACAGTTGTTATGCTGCCACCTCTTCCAAAATCCATCACAAATTGTTGCTTTTAACCTACCTACCTACCTTGCAGCAGTACGGCCTAACTCTAGGCTCTGTTCCTCCTCACTCAGCTTGGAACGGAAATGGGGGTGGCGCTAAGCTTGCTAGTCTATGCCTCGGCCTTAGCGCTAGGCCTAGGCCCTAACTAGCCTAGCTGGGCAGCTATGACGAATAGACTTAAATACATCTTTATTTTAGTTCACCAAACTTGTCAATCTAATAATTGATTATTAATACTTACTAGCAGCAGTTAAAAAAGCAAACGTTATTGTAAAGTAAGCAAAGAAACGGCCACAATAGCCAGAGCTGCTTGTCTTTTCAGTATCACCGTTCGCCATTTTGACATTTAATTATTGACGAAAACACATGACGTTCTCGTCATATGACGCCCAGCCCATTGTTTGCTAGCTGTTGGGAAGATACTGGTAGAAGCCGCAAATCAAGGAATGTCATCATAAATCTGTGTATCTATTGTAAATAATAATATCTACTGCTCATCACTGAACTATCTGACTATAATAATTAAAATTGTTGCTATAATAAGTACGTGTGAGCCTACCCAAGATAGCCTGGCAAAATTAAAAATAGGCCTGTCTTT